CTCCGCTTCCCAGCAGGAGCAGCTGCCGGGCTGGGGGAACACGGCCACATTGCTACCCCACCCACATAGCTCTGACGCATGGAGGTTTTGAGAATTCTCAAAAACACCCTGCAACATCAGGAGCAGCTGCCGGGGGAACCTGGCCACCTTGCTGCCCACCCCACATACTAGTTCTGACGCATGGACCGGGTACGAAGCAATATAGATATGTGACGGAAAGTGTCAGGTGTAAACACATAGATGTATAAATATAAATATGTATATAAGATAGATATATGTATGCATGTATATACATACACTCATACACTCAATGCAGACACACGCCATCACACACGCGTTCGCATGAGCCCATGCTTCATACACTTGATGCATGGACCGAGACACTCAGAGCTTCATACCAGACTTCGCATGGTCGTACTAAGCAAGCACCTGAGAGACATTGGAGAGACACCTGGGATGGGCACCTGAGAGGGGAACCTGAGAGACACCTGAGAGGGGCAGCTGAAAGGGACAGCTGAGAGAAGCCTGAGAGGGACCCCCTGAGAAAATACCTGAGAGGGGCGCCTGAGAGACACCTGAGATGGGCGCCTGAGAAACACCTGAGTGGGGCACCTGAAAGGGGCACCCGAGATGGACACCTGAGATGGGCACCTGAGAGACACCTGAGAGGGTAACCTGAGAGTCACTTGAGAGGGGCGTCTGAGAGACACCTGAGAGGGACTCTCGGCCACCGGCGGTTGCTTTGGCTACCGTAGGGTTACCCTACGTAACGTAAAAACCGCTGCTTTGCATTGCCTACGCCGGGGTAGAGTAACGACGTCGGTATCGTTTGCTATCTGGACCGTGAGGGCAGGTGAATGCGACGGTGACCAACACGGTCTGCGACAGAATGCGAAGGATACCTGGGCAGTGTACGACTGCATGCAACGGATACCTGGACGGTATGTGACTGAATGCTGAGCACGCGACCGCCCCCGTGCAGGGCGAACGGAGAGAGACGACGTCATGACAACCGCATGGGAAAACGTCATCGTGAGCGGCAGAATTGCAGAAAAACACATAGGTCATTATTTTTGTGTCAAAGGTTGGTGACATCCGTTGTAGTCTAGTCGGTTAGGATACTCGGTCTCACCCCGAGAGACCCGGGAGACAAGTAGGGTCCGCGTCACGCGCTGTGGACGGAGAGCGCGCGCAGCGCGGGGAGGGACTAGGGACGGAAGGAACGCGGCGATAGAGCGGAAAGCTGAGGGAAACTATCGCGATACCCGCCTGGTCCGTTTTTTACGCGATGTGGGCGGAGAGCGCGCGCAGCGGCTCTGCGGTCCTCCATGATGCTTGACAAGAGAGCTCAGTACACAACAAATAGCATAAATCACGTCGTTGTCAGATAGTATAGTACACAACAAATTGCTTATGTCACAGGACCAGTAGCATAACCTTCTCTTTAAACACAAATGTGCAACACCTTGTGGGTTCGATTACCGCCTGGTCCTTTTATTGGTGTTAATTGTGCTCAGGAAAGTGCCTCACCCGGCCAAAACAGTTGAGCGTTCTCTTTTTTACAGTACATTCAACTCAGCTCTCAGTTGTCAGCTGAGCATCAACTCCCTTATCCTGCAGCACCCCTACACTGTCACCGCTCAACCAAGGCACTTTCACCATCTTGCAATCCATCTAAACCATCTACCACCGCTTTCAACCGCTTGTGCACGTAACCAAGCACTGTCAGATGTAACCAGCACTGCACTGTGAGATGTAACCAGCACTGTCAGATGTAACCAGCACTGTGAGATGTAACCAGCACTGTGAGATGTTAACCAGCACTGTGAGATGTAACCACACTGTGAGATGTAACCAGCACTGTGAAATGTAACCAGCACTGTGAGATGTAACCAGCACTGTGAGATGTAACCAGCACTGTGAGATGTAACCAGCACTGTGAAATGTAACCAGCACTGTGAGATGTAACAGCACTGTGAGATGTAACCAGCACTGTGAGATGTAACCAGCACTGTGAGATGTAACCAGCACTGTGAGATGTAACCAGCACTGTGAGATGTAACCAGCACTGTGAGATGTAACCAGCACTGTGAAATGTAACCAGCACTGTGAGATGTAACCAGCACTGTGAGATGTAACCAGCACTGTGAGATGTAACCAGCACTGTGAAATGTAACCAGCACTGTGAGATGCAGCACCGCGCTGCAACTGCCCCACTCACATGTGACCGTCCAAGCAGCAATGCTGTCATCAAATCTCCTGTTCCCTGCATGTGGGATGGCATGGGGGATGGCATGTGGGTTCGAATGTAGGACTGAGACGCAATGAGATGCTTGCCATGCGGCAACGGATTACATGAGACCATCCAAGCTGCAATGCTGTTACTAAATCCCCTTTTCCCTGCATGTGTGGCGTTGAAGTGGGATGGCATGGGGGATGGGTATGGGGGAAGGCATGGGGGATGGTATGGGGGATGGGATATGTAAGGCGTGTTACATGGTATGTAAAACGGCATGAGGTATGGCATTTGAAAGGGCATGTGAGTTGGCAGTTGGGAGTGGCGCGCACTTTGCTGCCTGACGTGGCGCACTCTGCTTAGTATTTTCAATAATGGAGCGAGCGTTGTATGCAGGTGGGAGTAACGCGCGCTGCTCTATGGGGTGGCGCGCACTACTCTCTGGTAGTGGGAAGCGCGGCTGCTGATGTGCGCGCCAGGACTCAAACAGGTCTGATGGTGCGTAGAAGATTGGGTGATCATAGGCGGGTCCAGTGCGACCCGTCAACGGGCCGGTTTGACCCGACCCGATTGACATATGAATCTACGGGTCCCAAGTCGACTTGACCGGGTCCGGTCGGGCCTGTCCTGGACCCGACCCGACGACCCAAACCTGTCAGGTCAAAATGCCCATGTCTGATGTGCAATGGCATGTGAGGTGGCATGTGGAAATGGCATGACAAGAGGCATGGTAAGTGTAAGAGAAATTGCATAGCCATGTGCGATGTGCTGTTTCGAAGCTACAGGTGATCATGCACCTGGAACCGACATGGTACTGTAGATTGTGAGATGGAGAGTCAGATGGGGAGTGAGAAGGAGAGTGTGACAAGGAGAGTGTGAGAAGGAGTGCCATACAGTGAAGTACTCGGGTATCTTGGGCACAGCTATGCAGAACCGCCGCAACGAATGTGACCCAGAGCCCTCCTGAAATATGTTTGTAAAGATGTCGACAAGAGAGTGAGAATTGGAGAGTGGGAGCCAGGGTACTGTATGTACGGGTGGCAAGAGCAGGTGCAAACATAGGGGATAATGAGTGACAGATAACAAAGGAAAAGAATTAGAGAGAGCGAGAAAGAAGAAAAGAAAACAGGCACAAGTTCACTGCAGCTAGGAAGGATAATTGACCGGCGCAGGGGGGGTGAAGCGACCAGAGAAGGGTGGCAGCAAAACAGATATCTTCTCTTCAAGGTCAAGACAAGGGGCTCATTGCTAACCTACTAACACTGACCAATACGGCATGGATGCCTCATGTGCCGACCTGTTGTGTGAAACCTGCCCCATCCGCTCTCTCTCACCTGCTCTGCCCCATCCGCTCTCTCTCACCTGCTCTACAGCAGGGCTGCTGGTGCCATCCCTCTGAGTGGACTCAAAAAACACCCCAATTACCAGACCAGCTCTCCTCATCCTCACTCACCTCCTCTCACTCACCTCCTCACTCACCTCCTCTCACTCACTTCCTCTCACTCACCTCCTCTCACTCACTTTCTCTCACTCACCTCCTCTCACTCACTTACTCTGACTCACCTCCTCTCACTCACTTACTCTCACGCACCTCCTCTCACTCACTTCCTCTCACTCACTTCATCTCACTTCCTCTCACTTCCTCTCACTGACTTCCTCTCACCTCCTCTCACTTACTTCCTCTCAATTCCTCTCACTCGCTTCCTCTCACTTCCTCTCACTCACTCCCTCTCACTTCCTCTCACTCACTTCCTCTCACTTCCTCACTTCCTCTCACCAACCACCAGCTCCCCATGCCTCTCACTCACTTGCTCTGCAGCAGGGCTACTGGCGGCGACACTCGCATCACCAGCAGCAGCAGCAGCATGTACAGTCCAGGTGTGTTTTAAGTCGCCTCAAGACACACATCAATAACAAAATCCAACAGTCCCCATGACGCCTCCCCTTACCCACCTCCTCTGAAGCAGGGCTGCTGGCGTCACTCCCCACCACCACCAGCTGCCCATCCACCTCCATGCTCATGATTACGACCTGACGGGAGTGGTTGAAAGCGGTTAAAAATGGTTGAATGGATTTAAAAAGGGTGTTGCCTCAAGGGCCACTCCACTCCACCCCACCACTAGCAACCGCCCATCCACCTCCATTCTTGTGATCACCACCTGTTGGGAGTGGTTAAAAGCGGTTGAAAGTGGTTTAGAACAGTGCAGCGGGTTTCAGAGAGGCATTGTCTATGAAAGACCCCCCTTCCACCACAACCAGCCGGCCACCCACCTCCATGCTCGTGATCACCACCTGATGGGGAGTGGTTGAAAGCGGTTCAAGTAGGATGTGCGAATTCCAAAGAAGTGATGCCTCAAGGCCCACTCTCCTCCCCCACCACCACACCATCTGGCCAACCCTCTCGCTGCTCGTGATCACCACCTGATGGGAGTGTTGTGGGTGCTTGACACTGAGTAATGGGATAGAAAGTGGTTGAAAGGGGTTGAGCGGGATTAAGAGAGGCGGTGCTTCACGGGGAATCTCCCCTCCACCAGAAGCACCTGGCCTTCCGCCTAAAGGGAGTGCTTCACAGCAAATCCCCTCTTATCCTCCGCAAACCCCATCTCCCCCGGTTTATCTTACACCTGCCCAAAGGTTTTTATTCTACCCTGCCCTGACAGGAACCCGGGAAGCGTCCGACAGGGCAATTCAGCAGGGCAACCCGTGAATCGGCCTCCTCCTCTCCGCGGTACCAAAGTGTCGGCAAGCAGACCATGACGTCAGCGCGCCCACCGTAGTAACCTCAGCAACCCCACCATGCCAACAAAGCAGGTCAGCCCATTTCCTCTCCCTCTTGCATAGGCTTACTTACATGAACTGGACTGATTCAACGAAATACCCTTCTTGGCCATGCAGTGTGCGACATCATACCAATTCACCAACAGTTTACTCGAAACACTTTTACAGTTGCCCAAAATTTTCCTTTTGCCTACTGTTCTTCCTCCCCTGTAGCCACACATTCCTTTCTGGGACCCGCAGCATCATGCTAACCCACAGCACCATGCTAACCCACAGCACCATGCTAACCCACAGCACCATGCTAACCAACATATGGAAATGTACGGTTATGTACAACCCCCATGTACGGTTATGTACATATGCGTCGCGTACGAGTGTGTACGGTAGGTAGACGCACTACGTGCATGAAGGCATACGTACGCATGCATACGTATGTCTACGCGCATCTAGGTTAAACAGGTAGGTACCAGACATGCGAGTATTCATGCGTATACGCATGCAGATGCGCACGTTCCTTAATATTCAGCTCATTATTCCAGAGCTAATTTGTCATTGATTTGTTGACCTACATGCATAAGCTCCAGATTACACAAATAGATTTGTCAACTAACATGTGTAGCTTGTAAATCAGCAAAATCAATTCTGTTTACTGCCATGTGGAAAGCTGTAGTTTTGCAAGATACTGTTTTGCTGTTCTCGTTTTGGGCACAGCTGACGAGCGAAACCTATTCGCGCTGCGAATTTGTCACTGTAAATGCTGGCACATTCACTTTGGGTCGCACTCGCTGTATCGGAGTGTCGGACTGCATATACGCAAAGCACCCAAACCGACTTTCCGACTTTGTCACTGCGCTGCCGACGTAGCACTGTGCAGAACGCTACTTCAGTACATCCACTTTGCACCACGAACCCACGTTCGTTCAGGGGGACCAAGCAAGCCAGAAAGTGCACGAAACGTGATGTGAGTGGGCTGGGCTCACAATCGCTCACCTAACTCCCACTCCCGTTTTTCAGACC